AAAAGTAGATAAATTAAACCAATTTTATTTATATGGAGATGATTATATATTACATGATGATTATTGAATTTTATGTGACTTACTTGTCCACTTATTTTCTTGTTAGTGAATGATTATACAAAGTGACACTGCTAACATAGGGTAATTGTTACGCTAAAGATTTTTCTCGTATTTTGGGTTGTATGAACTGAATTACATTGCATTTAAAGACTGTAATGTTTAGCTTCAGTAAGTGATTAATAGTTGGATGACTATTGATTTCTTGGACCAATAAAAAATTATTATAATAGGCTATTATTTATTTTTTATCTTTTTAATGTATTATCAATTAATTTTGTTTTACAAGTATTGACATTCAAATATTTATTTTTTAGCGAATTTGGATATGCACTACATACCTACAAACATAGGATGTAATTTGATGATTATTTAATAAAATTGAGGAGAAATTCATGTGCTAAATGTTAAAATCGTCTCTAATCAACTTATTCGGATCAGAAAAGATATCTATTTTAACAAATTCATATATACACTGTAAAAATAAAATTTGATGGATAATTGCTTTGAATTCGGATCACATTATTCAAATCTGATTTAGATCGAATTTGTATTATTTGAAAAATTAGAAGTCACAAAAATAAATTTATTAGTTGAATTAATGCAACTAATAAAAAAAATAAAAAATTCCTTAGGAAATGATAAAGTAGACATTATAGAATTTTTGAAGGATAAAGTAGATATTATAGAATTATTGAAGGATAAATAAGAAAATCAAAAATTTGTCACTTAAACCACTTTTATTAGTAGTATAGATAAATTGATTACACCATTATATTATTGTTCATATCATATATAAATACTAGTTATTTCTCGTGCCTGAAGGTATAGAGTAATAAAAAAAATAATCAACAATAAACATATTTATATTCACACTTAAAATCAAATTACAAAAATAAATTGGAGAAAAAAGATTTTAAGCACCGATTGTAGTGATGGCAGTGTTGGTGGTGGGAGGCAGTTATAGTTGTGGGGAGTGACAACGACGGTTGGTTATGGTTATAGTCATGGGTGGTAACGGTGGTGGTGATGGATGGTAGGGGGTGATGGTGGGACAGTTGCAGTGGTGGTAAGGTGGCGATAACGGTGGTGATGGTAGGAGTGATTGTGGGAGTGGTGGTAATGGTGGTGCAACGGTGGTGGTGGCGGTGGGGCGGTGACGGGTGACGGTGGAGAGTAGTTGTGGTGGTAGAGTGGCAGTGATGGTGGTAGTGGTAATGGTGGTGGGAGTGTGGTGGTAATGGTTATAGTGATAGGGCGATTTTGAAACACTATTTTTTTTTTAAAATACTTATGAGAAAATATAAATTTTAGAAAGATTTTTAAAAAGTTACCTCAAGCATACTCTTAGGGACCTATTTTTTCTATTAAATTTGGGATGTATTAGCCGTCAGATTAACTTTAAAGTAAAAGTTAAAGAGATTTCAAGTGCAAAAAGGAAAAATCATTTTGTTTATCTTTTAAATAGTTATTGCTTATGACTAAAGGCATAGAATAATAAAAAATAAAAAATAATATAAATATATTTATATTCATATCTAAAATCAAATTACAAACATAGAGAAGAGATAAAATAATTTAAGTACACTACAAGAAAAATATTTTTTAGCGGTAAAAAAAGTCGTCGCTAAAAGTGAATAATTCGCTGCTAAAAATTTGTTGCGACAAAAAAATTTGGTTGCTAATTTGTTGTGACCGGCTCGTCACTGAAAGTTTTTGATGACCAATTAAAGTATCGTCACTAAAGTAGATTATCAGTGACAAAAAATTTAGTCGTTTAAAAATTCATCTACTTGTCACAAAAAAAATCTTCATTGCCGAAATAAATTATATTATGGTCATATATTTTCTCTTTGGTGATGACATAATATTTGTCGCTAAAAATCAAGGTACATTTTTTGCGACTAATATATTTTCGAGGACAAATAACACATGAACAAATTTTATAAACCGGTAATACGACACGACTCGTTTAACCCGTTTAATTTTAAAAAAATTATATCAAAAAAATTTTAATACTCCATTTTTTTTACTGTCAATTGTATTTACTTAAAAAAAGAAGAATTTCTAATCAAATCTCACATAAAAATCAAACTTTAAGGTTAAAAAATAAGGCAAGAGGGCACTGCCTTTTATAGGCAAGTCAGCCCTCTCCATCTCACTTTATTTGTCGATGTGGGATAAAAACAAAAGAAATTGGTTTATCTTTGTCTTTGAACTGCTCCCCATCTTTCCTCTTTTTTTTTTTGAACTACTGCTTTACTTTTTTTTTTTTCTTTTTTTTTTGTATTGAGTTCTTTACATCTTTTTTTTGGCTAATTTTTTAAAATAATTATTAATTTATTATTACATTAATTTTATTTAAACGGATAAACGTGTGATAAACGGTTTGACAGATTTAACCCAAACACAACCCATAGAATGTATTTTTTTGCGACAATTTTTCTTACACGTCGCAAAAAGTCGTCGTTGTAAAACTTGTTTCTTGTAGTGATATTCTGCAATCAAATATAAATTGTCGTCAAGCAAAAAAAAATTTTAACTTTTTTTTTTGCGACAAACATGTATTGTTGCAAGGTATTATTAATTTTGTTTTACTATTTTTCGTTATTTGACAAATATTTTGTGACCAAAAAATTATTTTGGCAATAATTTTTTTTTGTCGCCTATAAAATTAGCATTTAGTGCCAACATTGGTGCCAAATTTTTTTTGGAGAGAACGTTTTTGTGAAGACTATTGACAACGACTACAAAAAATGGTCACAAAAAATATCACAAAAAGTTTACTGCGACAAATATTTGAAATTGTCGCCGAAAATCACTTTTTAAAAATAAATTTTATTATTCGTCGCCAAAATTCGTTGTTAAAAAATAATTTTTTTATAGTGGTATCATTTTGTAGTGAGAGTGAGAGGTGGTGGTAAGATACGGTGATGGTTGTGAAAGATGACAAAGACTGTGATAGTGGTGGCAATGGTGGGGGTAGGGGTGGCAGCGACGGCAGTGGTGGTGGTGGTGGCAGAGGTGGTGGGGGTGGTCCGGGGGGTTATGGTTGTGGCGACGATGGTGGCAGTGGTGGTGGTGGTGATGTGGTAAAGGTAGTGGTGAAACGGTTTCAAATGCTATTTTTAAAAAAAAATATTTATGAGATAATTTATAAAAATACTTTTTTAAAAGTCACATCAAACACACCTTTAAAGATATATTTTTCCTATTAAATTTAAGGTGTTAATATTAACCGTTAGATTAATTTTAAAAGTAAAATTTAAAGCGATCTCAACGGCGAACAACAAAAATTATTTTTTTTATCTTTTGAAATTTGAATTGTAAGCTACTTTATTATATAGATATAGATGTACGAGGACACTATTATACATTGAAAATATTATTACTAACGAAGCACCATAAGTTCTAACCGTAAAAAAGCATAATCAATAATTTTAAAAATCCGAACACCGGAATATTGCAAGGAATTAATATTATAGGACAGGACAACTCATCATTGAAAGAAAAAAACAGGGAAACTATATTTTAGGGTAAAGTTCAAAATGTCGGTTTGAACTCTGCAGTCCAATTGTATTATCTTATCCATATTATCCCATTAAGTTTGAAAAACAGTGACTTAAAAGGTTGCTTCCTGACTTTTTGGCCACGTGGCAAAAATTTGAAACAGTGAGGTTTTGAAGGAAGGTTCCCGACACTTCGATCTCCTTGTAGCACTGCTCATACGTTCAATTCAGGGACGTGTGAAAGTTAACAGAGGGTGTGGTGTAGAGCCCGGCACCTGGACGCGCAGAATCAAACGGACCCCACTGCCTCTAAATACGTGGGGGCCTCGTTACCCCTAGCATGACCATGAATATTCGAATATAAAAATAAAAAAATAACCGACGCATAAAGGGGTTGCCACGTGGCCGTTCTCATGGAAATTTGTTGCACGTTATCGTTTTAATTAGGTAGGGTTTGGGCGGTGAGGGTGATTGGTCAATTATATTAAGTTGTAACATGATTTTATCATAGTTTAGCCAAAAAGAAATGCATTCCATAATTACTAGTATGCCCACTTTACCCTTTATTAGATTCTTTGAATTTTTAAAGTAAGCTTTTTTTAAGAGTATCAAGAATTTTTACTCAAATCCTTGCTCAAAAAAAAAAATTTGTGCAACTTATTCCATTCAAAAAAAAAAAAAGTAAAAACTTATTAAAATAATATCTAGTATTTTACTCAAACTCATATTGAACTTAGTATTGATTCAATAAATTTACTAAAACTACATTATTATATCAACAAATTATATCAGATTTTTAGATCGAGATAGAATTATTCTTTAAATAAAGGGAAACTCAAATCTTCAATATATGATCAAATTTTTTACTCGAATGTTAACTAATATTTAAATAAAATTTGATTCAAGATTAGAGATTTCCTAAACAAAGTACATAATACATCTTATTTTTAGAATATAACTGCAAAATGGGGACCGCTAATACAACGTTGTGTCACCGTTACAATTAATATTTTCTCGTTTTGTACATACGAGTAATAAAAAGACCCTTGTCTCGCAATGGCTAATCAAACAAATCTTCTTGCACTATAACTATTTGATATGATTTCGTTATAAAAATTTGATCTAATTTATTGACCTAATGATATAACTTCATTATAACTGTTTGATTAACACTAAATTTTAATATTTAATAAAGCCTCTGATCAATCTATTAAATATAGTGAATTAAATCAACATGTTAGGTCAATAAATTACTCTTCCAGTTAAGTAGGTTATTAACAAGCATACAATGGGAACCAAGGGCACTACTATTATGAGACCCAAGGCTAGATGTGGTAATCTTGAGAATTAGGATAATGGTGGGCCAAATGATCTTTTCCATTTAGTCCTAATTTATTGTACTTGCACCGGCCAAATCTCCAGATTTTGTTTATCAAAAAATTAATCGTCCAACGCCTATATAAACAACCTCAAACACTTCCTGGATACCATCAATACCATCAACACCATCAACAACCTCAAAAGCACCAAACACCAAAGTCATCTGCCTTCTCTGAAAACATCCACAATCCTTTTCTTCTCTTACAGCCTTCAACACTCTCCTCCTCTCTTCCTTCTCAACAATCCTTAGAACTTGCATACAAAACAGTCTATAAAAACTCCTTGCTCTTCTTTGAACTGTGTCAGAGTAACCCAAATGGCTCCTGAACTTGTCAGTGCTGCAACCAACCTCACCACCGGTCTAGTCAAGGCTGCTAGTCTCTCTAGCCGTGCCTTCGTTACCTTCTTGGCTGGTAACGGTGACTATGTGAAAGGTGTGGTTGGATTGGCTAAGGGGTTGAGAAAGGTGAAAACTACTTACCCTCTTGTTGTAGCAGTTTTGCCAGATGTTCCAGAGGAGCATCGCCGTATATTGGTGTCCCAGGGTTGTATTGTTCGTGAGATCGAGCCGGTTTACCCACCGGAGAACCAAACCCAGTTTGCTATGGCTTACTATGTCATCAACTACTCCAAGCTTCGGATTTGGGAGGTATGCTTTTAAGATACAGTCATGGTTTATGTGCTGTCCGTTTATTTGATTACTAGTAATATTAATATATTATAGATTACAAAATCATATACCAAATGTTTCATCCTAAATTTCACCATAAATTCACCACCCTTAAATTAAAGAGTCCTATTTTTATTTAATTGTGATGAATCTGATGTTAGATTTGGTGTAGTGCTTTGCCAAATAGGATTACCTATTTCATTGCATAAATACAGTAGATGAATCCTACACTATCCATGTATATTTCTCGTTTTCAGACATTTGGGGATGGTATCCAAAATACTATGTTTTTTGGTCGTTTTATAGAGAGTTCTCCCTCGTAATGACTGACCCACCAATTTTTCTGGGTGGAATGGCCAAGCTTGCCCTTTATATTCAGTGCGTGACCAGTACTATATTGTCTGCACATTTTCCAATTTTCAGTGTGTGACGAGTACTATATTGTATACACATTTTCCAATTTCCTAGGGTAAATCGTTCTGTATCCAATTGGGTGTGCAATTTTTTAAATGTTATTTTTACCTGCATACAGTTTGTGGAGTACAGCAAAATGATATACTTGGATGGAGATATTCAAGTTTTTGACAATATTGACCACCTCTTCGACATGCCAAGTGGTTACTTCTATGCCGTGATGGATTGCTTCTGTGAGAAAACTTGGAGCCACAGTCCCCAGTACAAAATAGGATACTGTCAGCAGTGCCCAAATAAGGTCCAGTGGCCGGTTGAGTTGGGACCCAAACCTCCTCTTTACTTCAATGCTGGGATGTTTGTCTACGAGCCCAGTCTCTCCATCTATGACGACCTCTTGCAGACCCTCAAAGTCACTCCTCCTACTTCTTTTGCTGAGCAGGATTTTTTGAACATGTTCTTTAGGGAGATCTACAGGCCAATTCCTCCAATTTACAACTTGGTCTTGGCCATGCTGTGGCGCCACCCAGAGAACATCGAACTTGAAAAAGTTAAAGTTGTTCACTACTGTGCTGCGGGTTCAAAGCCATGGAGGTACACTGGCGAAGAAGAGAACATGGATAGGGAAGACATTAAAATGTTGGTGAAGCAGTGGAGGGATATATACAACGATGAGTCACTAGACTACAAGAGGACCAATGCAGCAGCTGAAGATGTGAACAAATTTACGGCGGTGCTTTCGGAGGGTGGTGTTGTTTACTATGTTACTGCCCCCTCTGCTGCTTAGACATTTATGGTTTTGTTCTAAGATTATATGGGTTGATGTACATAAATTTATGAGGGGTGTCAATACAAAATTTTGGTCTTTGAGATTGAAAGTTCTGATTAAGAGGAAGAGTCTGGTTTTCTCTTTAGCACAAATTATTGTTTGGGATTCTACATACTTTGAAGTCTATATATATAAATGATATACTTTGAAGTATCTATGGAGGTGTATTCCATCGTGTGTTGATTTTTTATATTTTGGATGAGTATTTAAAACGGGAGGGGTCAAACTAGATTTGAACCCATGAACCATTACGGATCAATAGTCATTGACATTGAGCCAACTACAGAATTCCATCTTTTGTTTGTTAATACAATATTCGATCTCTGGATCAGCACCAAAGCAGGCCCAAAGGCAACACAAGTGAGTCTGCCCCCTAGGATCCCTAGTTAAGGAGGGACCCCAAGTCGGATAAATTAAGGCCCCAAAAAATGTGAAGTTGTGTGCAGTGTGATCCAATATATTAAAAGATTAATTTCAACTGTTAAGTGATTTGTCAGTATTGTGGGCCAAAGGTTAGAAAATACAAAGGCCCACAAGTATTGGCTGCAAACATCTCTCTCTCAACGAAAATCATATCATATTTATAAATTTTTAATAACTCGTGCTTGAAGGTACGATAAAATATTAAATTCAAGCGTTCAAAAAATTGATCATATTTTATTAAATTTTTTCAACATATTTATATTGTTATATATGAATAATGTTTGAAATAAAAATTATATTAACTACAAATTAATCAAATATTAAATGATTAAATATATGATAAAAATGAATAATGTGATATTTTTAAGAAAAAATATATAAATGATTAAACATGTGATAAAAATGAATGATGTGATGTCTTTAAGGAGAGAAATATGTAAGAGATAAAAATTCAAGTTGTTATATGTTTTATTATATAGATATAAAAAAAACCATAGAAATATATAACTAGCATCTCACCTCCTTCTCTATAAATGTACAGATAATATTACTTCGATTTTATTTGCTAATCTAATCAATCACAAATATTAGATAATTTAAAATCTCTTATCTTTAATATACTTTGATTCATACATATTTTTTTTTTTAAAGTGGTTTTATTTTCAAATTATATTTATACATTAAATATTTACTACTACTAGTTTTATAGAAGAACTTTAATATTTTGTTTATTTTATGATATATCACTTGTTTGAATTTTAAAATTTATTAATATCTGAATTTCATAATAGTATAATAAAAACAGTGTAACAATACACTGTAACAAAGCAGTGTAACAATATACTGTAATGAAAACAGTGTTCAGTGATTTTATGCATATGATAACAAATTCAAAATGAAAATGAATTATTTTGAATAAAATTATATGAAAATATATATTTGATATAATAGTACAATATTTTATATTCGAATCGCCATTAATACTGGTAGTAGCTGTGGGAACCACCATTGTAAAGATCAGGTGCCAATCTCTCTTTGCTCCCCCTCCCAATCTCTGTTCTCAAATGCACACACATACCCAAAAACAAAACACTGCACACAAAAAATCGCACAATTAGTCACTCTCTCTCTTTTTCTCTCCACCATTTCCTCTCTCTTTCCAACTATATTTATTTGAGGGACCTCCTAAATTTATCTCTATAGTTTTCTTGGCATTGCATTTAGAAAATTGAAGTAGAGTTTAATCTATATATATATATATATATATATTTTGTTATTTTGTAGAATTTCAATAGCTTTTGAGAATGTCATTCGCAAAATACATTGTCAATGTTGTTTTTGTGCTTCAAATCAATCGAACATTCTTATTTGTTAGCTCCAAAAAGAAAATTGAATGTAGAAAGAGATAGTTTTAGGATAAAATCTTTCTATTTTTGGATATATTTATTTGGATGACTTTCCTTTCACACACACGAACACTTGCACACCACTTCAATTCTGCTTAGTTATTTACTTATTTGTATTTTATTCTAAAATAGAAGATCATTTTGATATGTATTCAATCGTGCCATCTGATTAGTCATCAAACGCCGTAATATATTATCTTTAATGAATGTCTAACTGCATAATGTTTGAGTTTATATGTGGTAACTTATAGGGTGTCTCTATTTTGACTCTTATTTTTAGTGTTTGATTTATTTACCATGTAAAAAGTTGAATTGGAGTTATTATTTATCATGCTTGGTAAATTGAATGACTAAGGACGCGCAAAGTGGACGCATGAGTAATATGGAGTAATGGGTCTTGTTTTGGAGTAAAATTGGATACCCATGAAGATTTGTACCCGTCCCAGATTGTTGGAGTACAGAAAACAAGAAGAGCTAGATAACTAGAACCGTTTAGACGCAATGATTAGTGATGATTAGATGCTTTGTTTAACAAATATGGTCGGGACAGAAGTACTTAATTAACTTAAAAAAATTCTAGAGAGTTTACGATTTTTGGACACTTAGAAGACCGTGTGAATACTTAATTGACGGTGCGTTAATGCACCATCCAGACGCAAGTATCACTTTCCGGACACTACTGATTGTTTGCAAATTCTAGGGATCTTTAACCGTCCGAAAGCAAGGATTACTATTCGGACGCGCCTCTTGATCCTGGCTATGAGACTTAACATCGTTAGACTTCCTAATTCGAGAAGACTCCTACTTATTGACCTAGACCTAGCATTTAGTATAAATATCTCTTCCCCTCTATTGAGACCGGATCCTCTTTTCTAGCCTTTTAATAATTATTTCTATTTTTTGGAGATTCATCATGTCTCGTGAGTAATCTATTTGTACTCTTTAGTTAGGATATGGATCTAGGATTGTGATACAAATATTCATGTTATGCAATTATTTTTCTTTATTCTTTAATTTTTATTTTCTTTCTTAAATTAAAGATTGATTGAATGATTTTTAGCAAAATTTTATACTATGTACAATTGTTTGATTGTTTATTAACTTTATTGAGTTTTGGGTATGGATAATACTTATAATTCTCTGCTAATTTTATAGAACTAGTTCTTCAATTTTTATTTTCAAATCAATCAAATCTAGTGTTTTCAATAACTTGCATAAACATAGATATTTGGTGGACAAAATAAATCCAGATCCCAAAACTAAATAGTCATTTTTCAATTGATAAATCTCTTTTAATTTTATTGCACTACTTTTTATAAACCAATTTAAACCTTCAAAATCAATTTTGCATGTTAATTTTTTACCTACTTAGTGATAAATGTATACATAATCAATAATTATAATTATTTCTTCATTATGTAGTACTATCAATTGCTAGATTATTCTAGTTGTTGGTACTTTTTTTATAAAACATGGACAGCTAGAAACATGAAAATTTCTATTGGGTTGAAAGCTTATTTACTAGGATAGTGATAAATTGGTGTACTATTGTTTAGTGCTCATAGTAATTTTCTCTCTTCCATTTAAAATTTTTTGTTTAGAATCACAACAATTCTTTCCTTCATGTATGTCTCTCTAATTTAGTGTTCACTACAATTCTTTCATTGTTGATATTGTACTCGGATTGTAATAGTAAGTATTTTTTCTATAGTTTACACAATGGTGCATTTGGGGGTGGAGCTAGGAATTATTACGAGGGTGAGCACTTAACCCAAAAATTATATCTTTTTCATTCCAACCAACTAGAGCCAAGGATACAAAGGAGATTTTGAAAATCATATTTAATTCCTAAAACTTTAGGTGTAATAAAAAACAACAAAAAAAATTTACTTGCCCCATTTTACAAAAAAAAATGTGACTAATTATAACCCTTCACAATTAACCTCTTTATAAAAAAGACACCGGATCGCAATTACTAAAGAGTTGCACTTACCATCTTGGCATTGTTGTTTCTCCATTGTCTCCGTCTCAAAGTGCCGGTTAATTTTTATGGTGATGTAAGAGGTGTTTGTGAATAAGATGAATAAATAGAGTTTCCATGGATTATGAGTGCGGACACCACTAAGTATAGTTGAGGCATGGACTCATGGGTGGGCACCAACAGTGAGATAACTCATAGAACATTTATCACACATATAAGTAATAAAATAGAGATTTTTTCCCACGGTGGGCCAGTGCCCCTGGCCCATGACTATCTCTGCCCATGATTTAGGTCAGAGTATGAGGAAAGGGTTGAAAACATTATGACTACTACGCATCGTGGAGCTAATAGGATTCAGTGTCCATGTTGTAAGTTTAAGAACATGCTATACAAGATTGTAGATGAGGTAGAAGATTATTTGTATTAGTTGGGATTGATCCAAGTTACACTTAGGGTGTACCTCATGGACATGCTATATAAGATTGTAGATGAGGTATAAGATGATTTGTATTAGTTGGGATTGATCCAAGTTACACTTAAGGTGTACATCATGGAGAAGATTTTCAACCAAGAGATATCTTAAATATATATACTAATAAATATTTACTGGATTATAGGGATGAAGATATTGATGAGGTTGATCAACAAGTTATAGGGGATGTGGCTGTGGGAACATTTATGAAAACGGTTGTTGGAGGGTATCTTTAGTTTGGTGGAAATTTTGACAGATTGTTGAAGGATGATGCATTATGTTTAGTTTATGTAGGTTGTGAGAGTTGAGTTTCTTGGTGCAATTCCTTCATTTGAAGACGCTAAATCATTGTAGTAGCAAATCAGTGAATATGGTGATTTACTTAATCAAAACATCACTGCCTTCTACGGATGTATTACCTAAGTCCTATTAGGAGGCAAAAATTTTACTACAAAACTTGGGCCTCAGTTATATTTTCTATAAATTATTATATACTATTTTGAAAGGAGTATGAAGCTGCAAAAGAATGCCCCAAATGTGACTAGTCAAGGTGGAGGAATGAATATGGCAAAGAAACTTGGGCCTTGGTTATATTTTCCATACGAGTATGAAATTGCGAACAAATGCCCCGAATGTGACAAGTTTAGGGGCAAGTACGAACATGGTAAAGTAAGAACATCTCCCGAGAGATGTTGCGCTACTTCTCCTTAAAATTGAGATTGTACAAGTTGTTTATGTCGACCAACACGACTAACAATATGAGATGGGCCAAGGAGAAATGTGGTCAAGATGAGAAAATAAATATTTTGTGGGAAATTTTTTTTTACGGGAAAGCCTTATCTGTTGTAGTGATCCTCTACAATCTATTTCTTATCTGTTGGAAATGTTTCGACATGTTTTGGAAACGTTTTGATCCGTTTCAGAAACATAATGAACAAAATAAAAAATTTTAAGAATTATTTTTCCAAAATATTGATTGAAATATATCAAAATATCTTGAAACATTCCGAAACAATTGTGTAAATACATAAAAATATTACAAAATACCTCGAAATATTATGAAACATTTTAAAATATTAGAATTTCGATTTCAGTACTAATTCGTTTCAATCTCCTTGAAAACGGAAACGTTTCGAAACAAAATTTTTATCCTTGAATTTATGGTAATGTTTAGAAGTCGGTTTAAAGTCCAACTATATTATCTTTATCTTACATTATTGTATATTATCTGATAAAAACCAATTAGGGATTAAATCTACCGTTAACACCAACTAACAATACTATAAACTTTCTAAAAAAGATCTGAAACTACTTTTTGCAATCCTAATTTGGAATGAAAAAATTACGATTATTAAAATCTAAACTACTAAATATAAAATTAAACTCAGTATCTATTCTAAAAAGTCAATATCAATTTTATTTTTGTAATATCGATCTTAACTTAATTCATTAAATTCTAATAACTCGATCCAATAGCATCACTATCAAACAGGGCAGTAACCCCAGGTTGCTCCAAGGAAGGTCTTTTAGGGGGAACGCATTAATAGATAGTTGAACGTGGGTGCGATCGTCATTCTCCACTAATAGAAGTCGGAGAGAAGACTTTGGATGATAAATTTAAAGACAAGTTAAGATCAACAAATGAAATCGTTAAACGTAACAAACCTAAGGGTTGGAGGTAAAGAAACTTTTTTCGTTAATTCACTTTCTTTCTTTAGCAATAAGCTCTGTAAAAGCTAACAAATAGGTTTGATAGACCTTTCATAACTCATGATAATCAAACTTCATCCGACTATTGTTGCTGGTCAATGAAAAGCTTCGCTAGCTTACCTATTTAACTTAGAAGCACTTAATCTTTCAAAAAGCGCGAGTTGATCCATGTGATGCGAGAGTTCCAGTTCAAACACCTATTTCTTTTCTACATTTATTCAATTCAAATATCGGATAATAATTGTGCTAATTTTTTTTTAATGAATGAATTAACACTTAATAATTATAAGAGTCGTTAAGGATATACTCTCTTCACGTGACAAAAACTACATACAGTAACCCAATGATTTCTTCAAGGAAGGTTTCTTAATCAAAAGGGCCCCACGCTCTCCCGAATAAAGATGTTAGGCCCCATCCACTCGTTAGCCTGACCATGGAGATTCGAATATAAAAGTAACCGAGGCATATGATCTTGTCACGTGGCCGTTTGCGTGGAATTTTTTTGCACATTACCATTTTAATTTTCTATGGTTTGGTCGGTAAAGGTATCAGCGGCGATGGGTGGGCAATGTTTAAGTGGTAACTTTTTGAAAAATTAAATTTAATGACACACCCCACTAATTCTAAAACTTCCCTACACGTGTTTTGATAATAAGATAAATTGGGTTAATACTAATAAGAATAGGTTAACAATACAGTAGGGCCCATAAATTCTTTGTTTAGAAGGTAAAAGTGAGGCAGGATATAAATTTCAGATAAAACCTTAACTTGGATGCTACAATACAATTTAACCCTCGTTGATGGGTTAAATTAATGCATGCCCTTGGGTTTAAATCCCAGCCGACAGAATATGATTAAACAATGATAACTTTACCCTTTATTTTTTGCCTGAAGTGAAGCCCTACCTCATTGATCATCTCTTCATCACGCATCTCAATTTCGAGCACTGCTTCACACCCAATAAACCAAGCAATGAAGGTGGACCCATATCTCCCTCTCTCCGACTAGTGCTCAGGCGTTGTTGACAAAAAGGGGTCTATTGACGACGATGGTCAGTCTTCGAGGCAACCAGGCAACGAAGGGGTGGGCTGGGACGCTGGTGTTCTAGTGAAACAGAGGAGTGGGGTGGGATCCGATATTGATTTTTTTTACTGGGTGGGGATGGGTTGTCGGTTGTGGTGGATTTAGGGGGGTGTTTGATTGTTTTGATTTATTCTTCTTCGATAGTGTTTTGGTGGATTTGGGGAGTGTTGATTTTTCTTCTCTCTCTCTCCTTCTCTCACTAGTGTCCTCTTGGAAAACAAGCTCTTTTCTTTTCTATTTCCTGAGTCTTTCATTGATTTGCATTGATTCTCAAAGTTGAGGACACATGGGTTTCTTGAGCACTTTTCTGGGACTCCTTGGTTTTGGATATGGAATCCCAATTGGTGGGTTTTACTTCTTTGTTTACTCTCATCCCAAAAAGATTCAGAGCTGATGAAAATTGGTTAAGGGTATAATAGCATTACCTTTTTAATATTTTTAAATCATCGTTGTCAATGGATTCAACATTGTTATATCCAATCCAAATATGAGGTTGGTCGGGTTTGACTTTGATGACTTTTATAAGCAAGACTATATTTTTGATATCCTAACTAATCCCCTCTGACTACCCAAACACACTCTTTTGATTTATACTTCTAAATCAATAACACCCCTTTAATGATAACTTTTGTCTTTACCCGTTGATAAAGTAACGGTTTGACTAAATATTTTGTAAAAATTACCAAAATTATCTTTTGTTATATAAATAGACTAAAATCCCACAATTATTTCTCTATTATATGTGCTCTAAGTCAGCCAACAAGTCTGATTTTCTATTATTATATTATCCCAATGAATTTTTATCATTTTAAATCGTTGTATGATAATTATTTTATAATATTAGTCACCATATTATCATTCATTTTTTTGCATAATTGAGTTTATATAATTTTTATAGTCAATCTCCGTTAACGTCGTAACATGACAAACACTAAAAGAACTGACAGTGAAATTTTAGAATTAGAAAAAGATGTCATTAAATTTAGACCTAATTATAGGGGTATAGATGAAATTTTTCCTATCTTTTTTATTTGCTAATTATTTATTTTATCCACTTTACCGTTCACTAAATTTTGTGACTTTAAAATATCCTCTACATGCATTCATGTTCATGATTAGAAAAAAGTGATATATTTGAGAGATAGGAACAAATAAAGATCAACACAAATAGAATAGGTAGTTGAGGCCGGAGGGATAATATAGATATTTTACAATGAGCATATCAAATCTGTATTGAGATCTAATATAATATATTCGTTATTACCCATGTCGAAGACACTTTTAACACAAAAAAATTGTTAAGCAAATGAGGTATTCAAGAATGTTTTAAATAAAAGAAGTTAAAGGGTTGAAATTAAAAAGAATCATATTACATTAATACAATATAAGAATCCCCATGAACTTAAACTAACACCTTTACAAAATTATCATGTCATAAATTTCTTCCATGCGACTATTCTTTTCACCACATGACTATTCATTTTTTTAACCTCTGGCTAAATCTAATGAATAAGTTGTCTAATTTTAATAACGAATATAATTAAGAACGCACAATTAAATCACTGAATTCAATTAAATGAATTAACCACATTGAATTACAAATAAAATTTTCAAAAAAAAAAAAAAAACCTATCAAACTAACAGTGCCCAGCAAATTTACTTGTAGTTGCGAGGATAATTGGTTTAAAATCTCTTCCACTGTGACTTTTCAAATTCTATATAAATATTCTCACGCTGCGATTAAACAAAATTAACAAATCAAAATTTTGCCACTTCAAAAAAAAAAAATTTGATTTAACTAATCTTTTGTGGTTTCGATGTCTATTTTGCACTATTCAAGTATTCAAGAAAAAATATGAACATTAGCGAGACAAAAATGATGCAAATAAGAAAAAAAAAATGTCATAGTTGGTTTTGTTGTTCTTGTTGTTGTTTTTTTGCAATTATTTCACTTATGTTTTTTTATTAGTAATTAGTTTGATTTTGAATTTTTTTAGTTTTTTTGATACAATTGGTATCACTCATTATTCTTTTATTGGTGATTAACTTAGTTTTGATATTTTTTTTGGGTGCAATTGATCACTTTTTTTTTATTGGTGATTAGCTTGATTGTGATTTTTTGGTTTTTTTGGTGCAATTGATATCACTTGTTATTTTTTCTATTGATAATTAACTTGGCTTTGAATTTTTGTGAGTAAAGAAGTCCAATTATGATCAAGATAAACAATGTTAAGAGAAAAAGAGTATGATAGATGCAAGAGTGTGTTTAAAAGAGATCTGAGATAGAGAGAGAATTATATGAAAGATGAGAAAGTGTATTTTTAAAATCTCTAAGAAAGAGTTATATATGTAGGAGAGTTGGGTGTATGAGAGAAAGAGAGAGGTACATGAGAGATGAGAGTCTTAGAGTTGTAAAAGGGATGAAAGTCCAATTGATATCACTTATTATTATTTTTTATTTGTGATTAAACTTGGCTCTGATTTATTTTTTGTGCCATTGGTATCACTTATTTTTTTTTATTAGTGATTAGCTTGGTTTTGGTTTTTTTTTTGTGCAATTGGTATTACTTATTATTTTTTATTGATGATTAGCTTGGTTTTGAATTTCTTTGAATAAAAAAATTCAATTAGGATCGTAGATAAACAATGTTAAGAGAGAGAGAGTATGACAAATGAGTGTGCTTAAAAGGGCTATGACATGGAGAGAGAAATTACATGAGAGATGGGAGAATGTGAGTTTAAAATGACTGAGATGGGGTGTTATATACGTATGAGAGTTAGGTGTATGGAATAGAGAGGAAGAGTGAATTGTATGAGAGATGAGAGTTTTAGAGTTGCAAAAAGAATAAAAGTCAAATTAGTATCGTCGGA